CTCTCTCTCTCTCTCTCTCTCTCTCTCTCTCTCTCTCTCTCTCTCTCTCTCTCTCCTTGTGTGTGTGTGTAACGACCCGTTCTGCTGCTCCGGTCCATGGGTCATAGTCTAGCAAGAGAGAGAGTGGGGACAGAGACGGGAAGAATGGAGACAAGACAGGGAGTCTGATCTGGAGATGAGACAGAGTCTGCTGAGTCTGCTCCGGAGATGGAGTCTGCCCTGTTCTCTCCTCAAGTCTCTCCTTTTATATCTCTCCTCAAGTCTCTCCTTGAGTCTTGCCTTTAATCTCTCCTTGAGTCTTGCCTTGAGTCTCACCTTGAGTCTCTCAAGTGCTGGGATTAAAGGCGTGTGCCACCACTGCCTGTCCTTGATTGAAAGGATCAAGATAATTATCAGAATGTGCTCAGCTGTTGTAGGCTGTTGAAAACAAGTCTCTTGTCAGGGTATATGGCTCAAGATGGCTGCAAAGATGATAGCCGCTTTCTGCTCAGAGTCGGCTCCCAACATGTGTGTGTATGTGTGTGTCTTTCTTTCTCATTTCCTTTTACAAATAATTCATCTGTATAAGGCACATGTTAATTTGAAATTAGCATATGTGCATCTTTCCTGCTAAAAGAGGACCTGCTCCTTCTTTGCTATAACTAGCAGAAGAGGTTTTTTTTTCTCTCTTCTACTTTCTCTTTTAATCTATGCCAAGAAAGTTCATGGGCATTAATGGCCCCAGTCACTCTTCATAATTTACACTGTGCTTAAAGATCTCAAATCCACCACCATTCCCATTCATACCATTCCACTGAAATGTAAAGTATTTTCATTAGTAAAATGTAAAGTTTCTCACATTAGTAAAAGGGAGAGCCAAGGAAGAGGGCCAATGTCTAATGTGCTGATGTCTCAAGTAGCACCCTGTGCCTTTGCTAGAGCGAGAGGAAGTACGAGCATGATTATGTCCTCAAATCATAGATACCTCAAAGTATGATTTTGTGTTAGGTGGAACTTAAATGATCTGGGAAACTATAGTGTTCATTTTCAATTCACCATTTTGTCATATGATAATATAACAATATTAAACATATGCAATTATTATTCTATTTCATATACTAACCCTAACCCCCTAATCCCTTAGCCCTAACTCAGGCTCCACCTAGTGTTTGGGTTTGGGTGTCCTCAGATGCTCCCATCAGCTGACAGAGTAAGCCTCTCTGATGATTGGGCTAGGCACCCACTTTATAAGTATAACACAATATCATTAGGAATCATTTCATTGATTTTTTTTTAAAAAAAGGTCTTCTTAAAAATATTTATTTACTTTTATGTGAGTACACTGTAGCTGTCTTCAGACACACCAGAAGAGGGCATCAGATCCCATTACAGATGGTTGTGAGCCACCATGTGGTTGCTTGGAATTGAACTCAGGACCTCTGGAAGAGCAGTCAGTGCTCTTAACTGCTGAGCCATCTCTCCATCCCTGATTTTTTTTTTTTTTAGGTCAATTGTGTTTGGTTCTTTAAGCCTTCCAGGCAGTGTCTAGAATGAGTTCTTTCTCATGGTTTGTGCCACAAGTTAGACCAGTCATATAATTTGATGGATATCCATACCAATCAAGCCATGTTGCAAGATATACAGTTAATTGCTGATTTCCCTACTTCATTACATCTCTACCAGAGATTAAAATGCTACTTGGATACACATATGAAGTATTTAATGTTTCTTATATGTTCTTCTATTAACATTAACATTATTGAAATGTGTTGACAAAACAGGACACATTGGGGTTACATCTTCTATACTTGGACTTGTACTCAGGAGGCAGACACATGAGAATCAAGAGTTAAAATGTAGCCTTGGCTAATGACTGACATCCAAGCCAGGCTAGATAACAAACAACAGCATCTGAAGGAAATTTGTGAAAATATGAAAAACAAAACCAGAAACCACCCACCATCCTTCCACAGGCACCCTTACTTGAAAAGTATGATCACACATTGCCTTGTATTTAAAAAAACAATGGGCCACTTAGATGATAGGCATCCCATTCATTCTATACACTGCAGCAGAAAAATACCTATCACAAAGTGAAAGTGCGATATAAGATAAACAGAAGCCATAGAAGGAATATAAGAATGGCCTAATAAACTTCTTTAAATGGATATGCCACACACACAGCAAACTTCAATACCACTCCAAATGTTTCAAAATACAAAGCACAACCACAATTGGTGATCTCCATTACACTTGAGTGAACATGGTAAATAATTTACTTCCTTCAAGGCTAAGATGAAAAAGAGATGAAACAAGATTTTTTTTTCTTGAAACTGAAGACAACTATGACGTTTAAAGTCTTTAGCAAATTATTTACAGGAGTATGAGTTTTTTTCTACTTCCTGACATCAAGATGATATATAAAGCTTTAAAATATTTACAGGGAAAGAGATGTGGCTGGGAGGTTAAGACAAATTCATTCCCAGGATCACGGTCAGGGTTTTTTTTGTTTGTTTGTTTTGTTTTGTTTTGCTTTTACAACTTCCTGTAATTCCTGCTACAAGAAGATCCAAGGATCTAATATTCTTCGGAACCAGCATGCATGTGCACATACACACATACAAAAGAGACACTGACATCACATAATTAAAATGAAAACAAATTATTAAACAAATTTTTACTCATGAATGTTTTTCTTGTGTAAGCATTCTTTCCTATAACCCAGGTATTGAGGCACCTAAAGGCTTACCTACAGAGTTTCTTTTCATCATGAATTGGCTCATGTAACAGAAAGCCAACATGTATGCTTGAAGCCAGAAAAATAAATCCTTCTCAGTTGGTGGTATCATTTGGGAAGATTTAGGAAATGCTGGCCTGCTGGAGGAAATACGTCACTTGGAGTGGGCTTAAGAATGTGCATCCATACAGCAGTTCCAGTTCCTACTCTCTGCTTCATGCTATTCAGCTTCCGAGTATGTTTTTTGGCCCTAATCAATCAGTTGCAGCTTGATACAATAAAATCTTGTCATTTGCATTGACCTGTGTTTCAGGTATGTTTGATCTCAACAGATCCTATAACTCGAAGGATTTACCACATTGCTACTGTGTAGGAGGAGCTAAGGTGGGAGGAGTAAGGAGAGAAAGGGGGAAGGAAGAGGAGGAGCTAGGAGATGAGAGAGGAAGGAGAGAGAAAGGAACATGAAGGCGGATGTTCACGTGTCTGTAGCTGTCAAAGGTAGTTGGTATATCTAGGTTGGGTATTGGATTACACTTCTGATTGTATGGGCATCTTGTTACTGATCATTACCAAATATATAAGCTTTTGGATAATTTAAGCATTAGAGTCTCATTTTCCTACTGGGCCTGTGTGGATGGTGGGATGATCTGGGCAATGCCCAGCCTTGTGGAGACAGCGTGGAAGATTGGCAGAGCCATCTCCCACACTGACGTATCATGGGTGGCAGGACTGGTGTTTCTGGCTGGCTGTTTCTAGCTGCGTCGTGCATGTGGCCTCCAGCCCAGAAACATGGCAGCCGAGCTAGGCAGAGCTGCTGCAGCTTAGATGGTCGGCCTGTGCAGCCCTACTTTTTAAATATCTACATTAACACTACTGTCATAGAATTTCTCTCCAGTATGAATTCTTTCGTGATGATGAAGACTACAGAAGTGTGCAAAGGCTTCACCATATTAAATGCACACATAGAGTTCTTTCCAGTCTAATTTCTTTTCATGCCTTTGAAGATGACTGTAACCTGCAAAGACTTTACCACATTACTTACATTCATAGGGTTTCTCTCCAGTATGTGTTCTTTCATTCCTTTGATTCTAATGTGCAAAGGCTTTACCACATTGAGTGTATTCAGAGGGTTTCTCTCCAGTATTTCTTTCATGCCTGCAAAGATAATTGGCACATGTGAAAGCTTTACCGCATTCATTACATTGATGAATATTTTTATATTTATAAATTAATGTTATAATTTGGTGAAATGATAAAGAGGTATCAGATCTCAAAGTTTTATCATTTTGTTTGCACTCACGGTGTTCCCCTTCATTGTGGGTTGTTTTGCATCTTTGAAGAAACCTGTAATGTTAGGAGCATTTATTACATGTTTCACAATTATAGCATTCTTTTTCTGTATGAAGCTTTTTACATGTTTGAAGAGAACTGCAAGAATTCAGAGATTTACCACACTGGTTGCATTTATAATTTTTCTTATGCGTCATACCACATTTGTAAAGTAAATCAGGACAAAAAGAAGAATTTCTACATTCCTAGTATTCATGGGGATTTTATGCAATGTGAGTTTGTAAATTTTCCCAATAAAGCTGGTAAACTCTTGGGGTGTAGGAGTCACCTCACAAACCACACAAATACCAGTCTCAGTCTGACAAGGATAGTTTATTGAGTATATGTCCCAGGACTGATCAATAAGGGCTACAATTCAGACTAGGGAATTGAACTGTGACCTTGAGTTAAGAGCCTACAGGGCTTTTTAAACCTGAGATCTACAAACATTGGTATCAAGTTTTTCCACCAATCAAGATTTAGGGATAGGAGATTTCCTTAGGAACATGTCTTTGTTGTACATTTATCCTGTTCCTATAGGTTGGGGTATTCAACTTGCCTTATATAACTTTCATGTCTTAACTCATTAACCAGGATGTCAGTTACTCACATATATGTCTCTTTCTGCCAACTAGGATGTCAGTTCCCAGGAAGGTCTTGGGAATTTAAGCTTTATTCAATCCCTACTCAAAATGGAAGTCTTATTCTAAATAGATGCAGGCGTCTCTCTTATGTTGGGTTTAATCCCAGGGGCAGCTTATAAAGGCAAATACCATAACAACTTACACACAGGTGCAGGAATTGCTGCTAGATAGTTGCTTTGGGTCCAAGCTTACTGTGGTTAACTATACAAAGCATTTCTGACTTCTGTTATGATTGGTTTCCAAGAGCACAGAATATAACAGAATATGCAAATAACTTGGGCACGAGAAAGTTTCCTAGTAACAGCAGAAACAACATATGAGAAAGTTTCTTTATAATATTAGCAACAGGGTAGGGTCCACAGTTACCTAGGCCTTGACATTTCATCTAGGCCTTAATTTTTTCCCTAGGCCTTAACAAAAACCAATTAATTGCAAACTTGAATCACATTCAGAAAGTCTACTTGAAGTGGATACTACTACATATTTCTCATTTTTCTGGGACAGAGAGGTACATTGCTTTTTTCAATATCCCTATGCTCACATGGTTTGTATCCATTGTGACATATAATACTCCTATTAAGAGAAGAATAACAACAAATGTAAGGGTTCCACACTGCATTCACACAGTCTGACTTTTTGTTCCTCAGAAACATGTGGTATGGGATTAAGTTTTCTTTTGATTTTTTTTGTTTGTTTGGTTGGTTGATGTTTTGTTTTTTGTTTTTGTTTGTTTGTTTGTTTTTAAATGCAATATTAAATTCTAATCCTTTATTTTAAAGATTTATTTATTTTATGTATATGAGTACATTGTTGCTGTCCTCAGACACACACCAGAAGAGGGCATCGGATTCCCATTACAGATGGTTGTGCTTTGTATGCCTCTGTGTTTTGAGTGCTAGGATTTGATACACTATGCCCAGCTTGAACAACTCTTCCCTACCTCACACTCACAGGCAAATGCACACCAAGAATTTTAGTCGTTCTTTTATGTGTTTGAGTGTTTTGCCTGTATGTGTGTTTTTGTGCCCCATTCTCTCCTGTTGGCCATGGAAGCCAGGAGATGGTGTCAGGACCCCTGGAACTTAAGTTACAGGTAGTCGTGAGCTGCCTTACGTACTAGGACTGAAACTTGGGTGATCTGGAAGGAACTTCGGTGATCTTGGTTTCTGAGGTATTTTTATCCCCTCGCCTCCCATTAATTTAATTATTTATTCACTTTACATCCTGATCGCAGCCCCCCTCTCCTCCCACCCCCTCCCCCTTTGCCTCTGAGAAGGGGAGGCGCGCGCGCACGCGCACACGCACGCACGCACCAACTCAGAACTAGGTACTTCCTCTCCTGGCAGACAAGGTAGCCAAGTTAGAGCCAGGAACCGCTATTCTGTGCACCTTCAGCACACTCTAAAGCAAAACGGAGGTGCTAATGTCATTCAAGACCAGTGGGAGCCAATCGGAGCCTTCAAAGGGATCTGCCAGTCATAAAAGGAGGCGGGCTCTTCCGGGTGCCATGCAGCAGGTTCCGTTTAGTAGCTAAGCAGGCTTGAATGATTAGGTACGTGTCCTGTGATCTGAGCCCAGCTGCTAAATGCTCTGAGCCAACTCATGCAAGCTCCGAAGTTGCGACATGGTGAGCGCAGGGTCACTGCCAACAACGGGGAGGAGCAGGGGGCTGAACAGAAGGAGCTGGTGTGGTATGTCTTTCCGGGGGCTGGGTGGGAACCGGCGGCCACCTGTGAGGTCCCGTGATAGCCTAGCCGCTGAACCCAGCTGTAGCCTCTGAATAACTTCACTATAGGGGCTGTATCTGCGCAGAGCATTTGGAACAGTGGCTTGTGTGTAGAAACATCCATGGCAGGATGAAAAACTCGGAGAGCCCTGGTTTCTATAAGTTCTGTCCTTAGCATTTAACGTTAAGCTGTGCAACCCGTTTGGAGTTTATTTCGTGGAAGTTGTAAAGGCATCTCATGTGTTGGGTAGCAATCCAATATTAAGTTGTGATGTAAAAGAGTAGAATTGATGACGTAAAGAATTTATTAATGATTAGGAGATAGTGACACCAAGTCACTCTCTGAGGGAGGACTGCCTCTAAAATAGCCCACAGACAAGTAGTATGATAACCAGGTCTGTTAGAGATTAGAATGCTAGGATACACGTTTGTTCACCAGGATTGTCCAGAAATATGGCTCCAAGTCATAATAAAGGAAACAATCCTGATTTACAACCAGCCACTAGGCCCATCCCCATATTAAAGAGCAGCCTTCTAACAAGCTGCTCGATGAATGATTGATTACAGGATCATAATCAACATTAGGGCTTGGTGCTCCATAAAGGTTCGGTTTTCTTCTTGAGAAAAGCATAGTTTTGCTACATGGGCAAGACTACACAGGGTGACAATTCTTTGAAAAGGAAAAACACTGTTGTGTCGAGTGCTGGCCTGATCAAGCAAGGCTTTCTTTCCCCGAGGAAAGAATGTACAGAGAATGGCATAGATCCTTTTGAAACCCAGAAACATATTTGGCAGAGCCAGTAACAGTCTGAGGCCTAGGCCTTAGTAGCTTTCCCTAAGGCCCAAGATATAGAGATAAAACAGAGCTCTTTAATACCAGGAATATGATTGGGAGAGCTGGTAACAGTCTGGGGCCAGCGCCTTTGGAGGGGTTGCTTCAGATTCTGAGAACACAAGTCTTTTCACCATGTGGGGCTGTGGATAACCCTGTGGTTATCAGTCCCAAGGCCACTATACAATTGGTAAGTAGTGTTTTTTAGATACCCTGGGTTCCCCTTGTGCAGCACTGATTAGACTCCTCCTGAGTGTGTCCCATTGTATGATGTTTCTGCTGACTTCATAGTTTCTTTATGTTTCTGCTGGCTTCATAGAAGCTTCCTGTTTCCTTCCATTTCCCCCATATAAGTAGTATACAACATGGTATTCTTATCAAGCTTACTTAGCTTAAGAAATAGCTTGTGCAAGACCTCCCCACCCCAGCTTTTATACTTTCTACCTCCTCCTTTTCCTATCTTTTTCATCATGTGGAACTGTCCAATTAGGACATTGTAGTTCTTTTTTTCCTACCCTTTATTCTGCTCCCCACCCCCAGTCTCACCCCTAACACTAGATAGGAGAGAAACAAGGATAGAGGAGAAAGAGATCCTTGAATCTAATTTCTTTTCTTTTGGTTCTTCTTTAATGGTACAGCTACTAACAAATCACAACCAACCTCCCTAAAAGGCCAACAACCCCCACCCTGCCACTTGGGGTCCTCACAATTATGTGCCCTCCAAAATGTTTTCAGAATTCTACATGTACACCATCACAGAAATCTGTAGCTGGCAAAACCATGCTTCTGCTAGAGCACAAAGCAAATCATGGTCAGGGGCTGCAGACAGGCAAAAGCAGCCTCATATCCCTACACCTGGGATATGAAACTGAAAACACATTCTTATAATACTTCTGTGTTTTCTAGAGAAACCAAAATTCCAGAATTTTTTAAAATGTCACTACAAACCAGAGTTGGATGCAAACTATTATTAAAGAGAATGTTTATATTAATCTTTTAATTGTATGTACAGTAATTTTCCCCTGGGAACACATATTCTAGAACAGCTGCATCTTCAGCCTTACAGAAAAATATTTCTGAGACAAGCTGTGTTGACTCAGGTCACCTTGATCCCAGTTTCTTGATCCCCAGGGCAATGACCTTGCTTTCCTCTTGATTAAACTTATTAAATCCTTAAGTTAAAGGGATACATCAAAACAGAGTTTTAAAATTACTCGTTTGAGTCATGGAATTAAATTGTCAATTGCAGCTACAGGGAAAAGATTTGTATGTGGAGCATGCCTTCTGCCTTCAGATCAGAACAGGAGGAACAGTTTATTGTGAGCATTGCAGGGTGAAACAGGGTGGGCAGTAGCTACATTAGACTCTAAAATTTAAGGGAATCAGCTGCAGGAGTCACAGTTATGAAGAAGGACCTGATTCAGGCAAGGTAGTAATTTTGTAAATTTGTATATTTGCATATATTAATTCATGGATGTGAATAAAAGCAGACCAGATTGGTGGGTGTACAATTTGGGGAGGTTGTGTTGACCCAATAAATACTAAATTTCCAATTAGGGGATGACACTATGAAGTTATGTACAATCTTTGTTGACATAGTTCAGAAGGTTGAGACACAGACCATAGGCTGTAACTGTGTGTGCCAGGTTACAGGTCTCAGCAGCTAACATTGCACATGGGGTCAAGGTCAAACCATATCTTATTAATGCAACTTCATCTATCAGGGAAATGGTCTGTTCTTTTAAAAAGCTGGTATAGCTATGCCTCTTTTTTTTTTCAATTATATTTATCTTTTTAGGAAGTCAATTTTTGTTATTACCTTTTAAATTCCATTTTCTTAATTGATTCCATTTTCTTAATGGATCACTAGTCTAATCTCTTGTTTCTATTTTCTTAATGGATCACTAGTCTAATCTCTTGTTTCTATTCCCAATGACTCTTGTTTGTTTGTTTGTTTGTTTGTTTGTTTTTCAAGACAGGGTTTCCCTGTGTAGACCTGGCTGTCCTGAAACTCACTCTGTAGACCAGGCTGGCTTTGAACTCAGAAATCCACCTGCCTCTGCCTCCCACATGCTGGGATTAAAGGTGTGTACCACCACTGCCCTGTAAAAATTTTACTCCTTTTTCTTAAGTGCTTTGATTGTTTCTGCTTAGAACAATATCTTCTATAGCTCAGGCTTACCTCATGCTATATAGTTAAGATTTGCTTTGAACACCTCTGCTGCCTTCGCTGTTCAGTGCCTGAAAGACAGTCCTGCAGCTCCTTCCAGGCTGGGCCCTGACTAGTCAGTGAGAAGGAAGAAAGAACAGTGAATGAGTGTCCTCCTACCTCTCTTGACTTTTTTAGAGGATTTAGAAATAAAGAAGGACCTGTGTAAGAATTGAGTTCACTGACCACCTTTGAAGCTGGTGTAGTCACAGCATAGAAAGGGATGTGGAGGAAGGAAAGTGAGAGCTTACCTGCTTTGACAGTAGTTGGCATTAGCATTAGTAGGTAATCAATTTTAGATGATCAATAAGAGTCTAACGTGGCCAATTTTATAGGTTCAAGACCAGGGCAATCAAGAATCTAAGGAGAGTTTCACTAGTTCAGCCAACACAGACGATCTGGACAAACTGCTGTGGCTATACCTAACAGGAATCCTATTTTTCCTGTCTGAAAGTGTACAGCCTGAGAGAGAAGGTGTGAGTAATACTTAGTGTGCTCTAGTACATATGTTTAATTAATCCCTGGAGAATATTGGACCATAAAGCCTGTTTCAATAATTTTTGAGATTATAATTAAATCATTTAAACCTTCTCATTTCTCTCTACAGTTAAGTCTGAAACCCTGGGACATATGGCTTAGGTGCCTGTTTAACAAATCAGAGTAGACCTGGCTGTCAGGTTCTCCCAGCATCCCTCAGTCCTGTCACAGAATATAGCTGGTATACCAGCTGTATTTTAGGGATCTCTAGTTTAGGGATTGGGGTGCCCTTTTCCCAGCTGCCCTTCCTTATGTAATCCAACTGTTTTGGTTACCTGGTCTTTTTCATCTATCATTTACCCTTCAGGCCTGTTAGTCTGGCTCTCCCCTCTCCCTTTCACCCTCTCCTAACATGGCTCAGGATCATGTCCACTCTGGACTCTCCCAGATGCCCATGCCCTAGCTATGCCCTAGCTATGGTCTATAATAAACCTTCTACTCCCACCATACCTAGGAGCAGCCATGTCCTTTCCTTTTTTATTTCTTTTTTTCACTCGCCTCCCATTCACTGTTCCTTGATTTCAAATCATAGCCACCTCTTGCCTCTTGGTTCAGTTGTTATTAGTTGTTACTGTTTGAGTTCGACTGGACTTTGACTGCAGGACTTCCCACCTGTGAAGCAAAGGGATGGCTTCACTGGATGATGTTGAGTGTGTAATGGAGTGAACACACAAAAGACCTTGGGAGATGGACAGGTGCCCTAGGAGAGTGGAAGATTCTACTAAAATACAAATTTACCATACTAGGGCTCTGTCTGCCCCTAGAGTGGGAGGGCAGAGCTGGGAAGGCCTGTGCTGTCTGAATCATTTAATCTCTAATCCTCCAGTAGGGGATCTGGCACTGTCCTGAGGCCCAGCTGAGTGGTCAAAGCAAGTGAAGGACTCTGGGAAGGCTAGTAATCAGGAGGACCACCAGTGGGGGTTAGCTTGCAGATTCTTTCCATTTTCTTCTCTGATACAGTTCATCAGAGAGCTGTGAGGGAGACCACAAGCCATACCATGGTGATTGTGGTGGCCACCAGGAAGAGCAGGTTGGCTAATCTCTGATAAGAGTCCAATTTAATTGAACTAGGATGGACTGTGAACCACACTATGGTTCTGTTGGTACATGTGGCAGCCTATGAACCTGCCTAAGGTAGATTCCCTGGGGAGGAGGAGGCTCTGCTGCTCTGGCCATAGCAAGCTGTGTTGCTTATAATATCAGGGCCCAATATGCACAAATAAGCATTGCTTTTGGTGTGTAATGGGAAGATAGATTTTTAAAATGAAGGTCTGGCTTCTAGAAGTTCTGAATATTACATTTCACATTCAATTTTGTGCGATACACTTTACAAATAGTTTAGAAACTGGTAGAAAGGGGGTGATGATTATCCTTGAGCAATATTTGATTAAAATCCTTTACTTTTCCACTGTCACCAGCCACAATGGCATGATTCATGGAAATTCAATTCCAGGGTACAAAAGGAGTTTCTGCGATGCAGAGGTTTTTCAGGTGTGCATGGAGGTGTGCGAGTGGGTAGGTCAAATTCCGCATCATGTGCCATAACCCACATGGCATGAAGCAGACATTAAATTATTCTTCAACCTTGGTTTGTGTGTGGGCTCAGTGGGGCTGGGTTTGTGTGAGATCACAAGGAGACATGGTGGAGGGGAATGCTGAGCCATAGTCTACTTTTCTGATCACCCCATACAGATAATAATTTAAATTATATAAACCTGAAATCATAGGTAGTATTGGTCAAGTTTACATTTTTCCTGGCTGAGTTTCTTTAGGGCTTTTGATTAAAGCTTGACTATAATTTAGGGCTTATGTTCTTGGCTTTTTCTCTGCATCCCCTTATTCTTTCACAAATGTGGTAAACCTGATTGTTGTAGCTTCCTGTTAAGTACAGAAGTCACATTGTAACAAAATGTGTACTATTGCTGGGATTAAAGGTATGAGTCAGTATACTCAGCTTACCCATCATTTTTGTAGTTAGTAATTGTTCATACAATTTCTCTGATGTGTGCTCAGTACTGTTTGCTTGTCGCTCTCTTTCTCTTAATGTCTGTTGATTGCCATTTCAAGGCTGTATCCTATTCAAAGGGCAGAGAAATGACAAAGGTGAACCTCGTTATTCCGTTTCCTTCTAAAATGACTTAGTGATTACATTAGAACTTCTGTGTCTGGAAAAAAGTAGAGGAAGCACCAGAATTACATGAAAATATTATCAAAGAAGCATACATTTACAGTGATGTCTGTATTATGCTTTTGTTATACACATATATGGGATATTGTAGAATGCAGTGACTTATGATGATGTACATGTGAACTTCACTCGGGAAGAGTGGGATTTGCTGGATCCTTTACAGAAGAGACTCTACAAAGATGTGATGTTGGAGACCTACAAGAACCTCACTGCTATAGGTAAGTCAGTGAATTACTTTTCACTTTTTAAAATAAGGGTACAAAGGTTTCTTTGTTACTGATGCTTTTCTGTAACTTCAATTGAAAATGAGGAAGAATGAGGTGAATAAATCAGGTTGACTAAAGATAAATAACTTAAATTTTGCCTAATTTCCAATAATATATCATACATTTTCTGGTACTGTATTTTAGGCTACAATTGGGAAGACCATAATATTGAAGAACAGTGTCAAAGTTCCAGAAGACATGGAAGGTAATTTTCTTGTGCAAGTTGGTATGAATATGCCTCTGAAGAAATGTTAATGTGTCCTGGAAGTTTGTTTTTTTTGTTTTTTTGTTTTTTTTTAAATAACAGTGTAAAAAAGTGTATTTATGATTATTAAATTCTCCCAAATTAATGTACCTCAATGTCAAGTGTTCAATTTGTGTTTGCAGGGCATTCCTCTAAGAAAGAAGACAAGGAAACAATTCCTTAACAGATATTACCATTTTGAATCATAGCCATATGACAGCTTCTCTATACAACTGTCAATCTAGTCTCATACCATTCACATATTGCAAAAGATATACACATTGAATAGGTGATATGTATATATTCAAAACCTTCTAATAAGCAAATATTCCCTAGTAAAGCCAGTGTTACTCGTATACAAGTAGAACATTGCTAAGTTTTGTGAGAGGGGCAATTTATGAGAGTCAAGAATGTTGTTGGGAAGAAACCTTAATCCCTATACCACATGTCTATGATGAACAATAAGTCGAATTGTGTGAATGCAATGTGGAACCCTTTCATTTGTTAGTCTTCTTTTCCTGTGTCACAATGGATACAACCCATGTGAGCATAGGGATATTGAAAAAAAAGCAATGTACCTCTCCCCCATAAAAATTAGAAGATATGTAGTATTCCCCATTTGAGTAGACTTTCTCAATGTGATACATGTTCATAAATAGTTGGTTTTATAACTTCATTGGGAATACATCCACAAACTCACACTGCAGTATATCCCTATGAGTACTAGGAATATGGAAATTCTTTTCTGTTTGTTCTGGCTCACTTTGTATATGTAGTATGCAAATACAGTATACTTCACAATATAGGAAAATTTATAAATGTACTTAGTGTGATAAAGTTCTGAGCTCTTCCACTTCTCTTCAATATGTGAAAAACCTTATAGAGAAAAAGGATCCTATAAATGTGAGCATGAAATAAACACTCTTACAATTATAGGTATCCTCAAAGACTCAAAACAACCCATAATGAAAGGGAAACCATGAATGTAAGCAAAGTGATAAAACCTTAAGATATGATTCCTCTTTAAAAGAGGACCAAATTGTAAAATTAATTCCTACATTTAAAAAGATTCATCAGTGTAATGATGGTGGTAAAGCTTTCACATGTGCCAATTATCTTTGCAGGTATGAAAGAAATCATACTGAAGAGAAACCCTCTGAATATACTCAATGTGATAAAGCCTTTGCATGTCACAGTTATCCTCAAAGACATGAAAAAAATCATACTGGAGAGAAACCCTATGAAGGTATTCAATATAGTGAAGGCTTTGTACATTACAGTAGTCTCCAAATACATAAAAGAACACATATTAGAGAGAAACCTTACAAATGTAGTCTATGTGGTAAAACCTTTGCATGTCATAGTAATCTCCAAAGACACAAAAGAACACATACTGGAGAGAAGCCCTATGAATGTAATCAATGTGGTAAAGCCTTTGCATGTAGCAGTAGTCTCCAAGTACATAAAAGAACACATACTGGTGAGAAACCCTATGAATGTAATCAATGTAGTAAAGCCTTTGCATGTAGTAGTAGTCTCCGAGTACATGAAAGAATACATACTGGAGAGAAGCCCTATGAATGTAATCAGTGTGATAAAGCCTATTCACAACACAGTCATCTACGAATACATAAAAGAACACATACAGGAGAGAAACCTTATGAATGTAAGCAGTGTGGCAAAGCCTTTGCATACCATGGTCAACTTCAAAGGCATGAAAGAATTCATACTGGAGAGAAACCTTACAAATGTAGTCAATGTAATAAAGCCTTTTCACAACACATTCATCTCCGAATACATAAAAGAACACATACTGGAGAGAAACCCTATGAATGTAATCAATGTGGTAAAGCCTTTACATGTCACAGTAGTCTTCAAAAACATAAAAGAATACATACTGGAGAGAAACCCTACAAGTGTAATCAATGTGGTAAAGCCTTTGCATATCATGATTATCTTCATATACATAAAAGAATACATACTGGAGAGAAACCTTATGAATGTAGCCAATGTGGTAATGCCTTTGCATATCATCGTGAACTTCAAAGACATGAAAGAATTCATACTGGAGAGAAACCTTATGAGTGTAACCATTGTGGTAATACCTTTGCATATCATCGTGAACTTCAAAAACATGAAAGAATTCATACTGGAGAAAAACCATACAAATGTAATGAATGTGATAAATCCTTTTCACAACAGCTTAGTCTCCGAATACACAAAGCAACACATTCTGGAGAAAAACCTTATGAATGTAAGCAATGTGGTAAATCATTTGCCTCTCATGGTCAGCTTCAAAGACATGAAATAATTCATGCTGAAGAGAAACCTTACAAATGTAATCAATGTGGTAAGGCCTTTGCATGTCAAAGTAATCTCCAAAGACATAAAAGAACACATACTGGAGAGAAACCCTATGAATGTAATCAATGTGGTAAAGCCTTTGCATTTCAAGATTATCTCCAAAAACATAAAAGAACACATACTGGAGAGAAACCCTATGAATGTCATTATTGAAGTAAAGCCTTTTTCACAACAAAGTGGTCTGCAAATACATAAAAGAACACATACTGGAAAGAAACAGTATGAATGTAACCAATGTAGTAAAGCCTTTACAGGTCACAGCAATCTTCAGAGGTATGGTTGGAATATGCTTGGCCCATACAAGGCCCATTATGAGGGATGGCCTTGTTTGAGGCCTTAGTTACCATGGGGGTGGGCTTTGCAGTCCTATGCTTAAGCTCCACCCTGGGCTGAAAAGAGTCTTTCCCTGGCTGTCTTCTGATGAATATGTAGAACTTTTGGCACCTCAAGCACACATCTGCCTGGACACTGTCGTGCTTCCCACCTTGATGCTAATGGACTGAATTTCTGAATGTGTAAACCATCCCCAATTAAATGTTCTTTATAAGAGTTGCTGTAGTCATGGTGTCTGTTCACAGCAATAAAACACAAATTAAGACAAAGAGTATGAAAGAAATCAACTAGAGGGAAACTATGAAAGTATTGAATATGGGTTGTTAGGGTTCAGGTTCTGGATTAGTGTTAGAGGGTTAGGGGTAGAGTTGGGGATAGGGTTTAGGTTTAGAATTAGAAGAGGATAGGGGGATGGGATGGGTTAGGGGTTAGACCACAGCTGTTGTAACTCAGGGTTAGGGTCAGGGTTTAGGGTTAGAGTTAAAATTAGAGGGTTAGCATTAGAGTTTGAGGGTGAGGGTTGTTAGGGATGAAGGTAAGAAAAGGTTAGGGTTCATGACATCAGGCACATGTGTAGCTTAGGGCTTCCTGGTATGTCCTCAGTCTGAGAAGATGAGCTTAATCCTATGGAAATTGATGCCCCAGAAAAGGGGAATGCTGGTGGGAGTGAGGTGGGGGTGGATGGGCAGTTGTGGGAACACCCTCTCTAATACAGGGTTTGAGGTGATTGGGTGAAGAACTCAGGGCGGGGTTCTTTAAAGGGGACATCTATTAGTTTGTAAATAAAATAATTTTTAGAAATAACACAAATATGCTAAGTGTTTCCATTAAGACTAGTTATCTAAACATCTGCCACTAGCTCAACAAGTTCATTAAAATTTTAAAACAAGTTTTATGTCTAAGCATGGTTTTGTCAAGAGGCAAATCATCTGCCTAACGTCACATTAGTATTAATAGTTTTGTATAGATAAATCTAGTCAGTATTTTGTGTTCTGTCCTTGTACCTACAATAAATTGTTCATTCCCAAATGGCCTTTAGTTATCAGATAATGTCTTTACAACCAGCCTGAAAGGAATGTTTTCCCTGTTGTAAATATGACTGCTTTCTCGTAATGCAATTAGACCATGATACCTGAAGATTCAAAGAGACCTAATTGCACTTTTTATAAAGTGCTCAATAATTACTAGTATAAATGTAGGAATTCTGAAGAATCGTTAGGAATTACAAAATTATCTATTTGTCTACATAGCATCACTACAAGACAGAACATCTTTGTTGATCTTCAGAATACCTGCCAAATAGGGTGGGCTAATACCTACCAATTGTTAGACTCTGTAGTAGTGAAAGGAGAGGCAGGTATATCAACAGCAAGTAGCAATCCTGGAATGAAGTCTCTTGGGGCCTTGCCTTCCAGAGCTGATTCATTGAAACCCATCCAAAAAAAGGTGGACCATCTCAGGAAAGTCATCTACTAGCCTTAACCTCTCTTAGATGGCTTCTGACAACAACGAGTATACCGCAGAGATGCAGAGTCCCAGAGGTTTTGTCTCCAGATTGCTTCTCGCTGCTGCTGTGCTTTTTCTTGTTTGTCATTGCAATATTCTTCATATATTTAGCATGGTGTGATTGGGTGCAGGGAGACTCTTACTGCCTATAGTCTGGTGTGACTGCTTTCTGGAAGACAACTCACTTTATTGTGCAATTTTCTTGCAGATCAATTTGAAGATGAACTTTCATTAAACAATATTGTTTGGATAAATTAATAATTTTGCAGAATTCCTGATTTGGTCCAAATAGTTCTAGGAGGTTAGGGTAGTTGATAAGAAGTTTAAGGAGATGGTTCAAGTTGTTTTGCCAGAAGATGTAATAAAGTTAGAATCTGCCCTGGCCCACGGGGGATTTGACGAAACCCTAGGAAAGGGGGCAAAAGAATGAAGGGACAAAAGACACAAAGAATTCGAGCAAGTCTGGAGTTCTGATCAAGCTCTGAAACTTTAATTTCAGGGGCAGGTTATAAAGACACAGCAAAGCGGGAAGTTTAGGCAAGGGTCATTGTTTAGGGCTATCCCACTATATCTTTATTGTCTAAGGTCATCCCACTGTCATATCCTTATTGCCCTAGACCATACCATTGTCATAACTGGCTCCCAGGGAATGCCAGTTGTTCTTTAAGTTCCTGGGACCTGAGACCAGGTTTCCCAGAACAGCAGGTGATTTCCTGAGCTTGTCTCCTGGCAAGAATCAAGAATAGAATATGCTCCCTCCCTTGTAGAATAGTGAGGCCTTCATAGGTTAGAAAAGAAAAACAGTGAGCGTTCATATGTTACATGTATGTAATCATACTAGGAAGAAAAAAAATAAGATTGGAACAAGTTAATGATCAAAGAAAACATTTATTCTAGGTTGAGTCTGAGTTCCTAGATCTGTGATCTGGGAATGTGAACACAGGTTTTGGTGTGCACTATGAAAAGACAGGGTTATGAACAAACAGTAAATAATTTTATTGTAAATATAAGAATAGAGAATGGATGATTAGCCAGTTTAGCTGAATAAGACTTCAAAAATAATATGTAAGATAGACCACCTGTTTATTCATAAATACAAAATGTTGCCAGCTAAGCATAGGGAAAAACCTATGAGTATAGACTTGGCTTGTTTAAACTTTGTTAATTAATGGCAAAAGAATTGTTGCTTTGGGGTTATGATGAACTTGTGGAGAGAAAAAAATTGATGGAAAATGCTTAGTTAGGTGTGAGTTTCAAAAGAAGAATATATAATTAATTCTGTTGCAATTTCCTGTTGTGTAATGTTTTTAATCTGTTTTTGAAGAATATTTTTGTGATTGTTTTATGTCAGAGTCCAGCTTCAACTCAAGATTCGAATTCTCAACTGGAAGCAGGGATATCTGGAAGGCGCATAATAAATATACACTGACTACTTTTTGAGTACAAGCTGACAGGCAATTTTTCAAGGCTTAAAGTTTCTCTTCCCTCTCACTCTCTGCTTTCTTTCTTGCTCATTTGCTCTCAGCTTGAGGCTGCACACTCTGCATTCTCCTGCACACTCTGCTTTTCTCCTGTGTGCTTTTCTTTTCTTGAACTCCCACACTCCTATACACCTCTGTGCATTTCCCTTTCACTCTCACACACACTCTTCACACACATCTCACATATACCACATGCACTCTCCTTTCACTCACACACACACTCTCCATACACACCTCATATTCTCTCTTCACTCACTCTTCACATGCTCTTCTCATGCTCTCCTGCCTTTTTCTTGCCCCAGTCTTTTATTGATACTCCAAAAGCAGACAGAAAAAGAGACATTGTATAATCATTGCCAAATCAAATTCAAAAGAATAACCACATCCCACAAAGAATTAAGAATTATAATTGTTCCCCCAAATTTCAAGTTCCCATATTCCCAGGCTTGTACCTAAAATAATAATAATTGCAAACTTATCATTATTTAAACTTTAACTTTTAACTTATACTTCAGAGCTCAGAGCTTCAAGATCAGCTACTTGTATTTTCCTGTGAAGCTCTAATGAGAGATGACATGAACAAAGCTGCCAGGCAGTGGCCAGAAAGAATCAAATTAACCCTTAACTCAGTAGTTCCACTAGCTTTCTACTTCTGCACATTGCACACAATGACTCTCTTAAGAGTCACAGTGTTTTTATTTAGTTTTACTAACATATAATTTTATGCATTCTATACTTGCTTATCTAGGCACCACTCTTAAACGTTGTGTAAAACTTATTTCATAACTTCAATAGATTTTTCCTTTCTGGGAGTCCCAACATTGGCTCTATTTCATTTTCTAATAGTTTCTTCAAACTTTCTTTGCAAGTCAAACATTAATCTGGAACTACCATTGTGCAGTTATTGCATTGTTTCCAAGATGAGAACACACAGCATGCACCTGGACCATTAGGACTGTGCCATGCTGTGCCCTATGCCTTAATTTTTAATTGTTTAAGAATCATTACATCAAGGAACATCTAATTTCACAGAATTCACCAGAGAAGAAAGATAAAGAAGTAAGAAAGTCAGATATAATAGAATAATTATGCACACCAAGGCCAACTGAAAAACAATCACCCACAAATGAAATCTATACAGCTGTTGTTCAGGGCTAAGGTTAGGAGAAATAGGAACAACTGTTTTTTACAAAGAGCTACCACATGCTACTGAGATGTCTCTGTCCTGGTGTACTGCAGGTAGTCTCTTATTTTAGATGGTGGGTCTCCTGGAGGGATGTATCTCCTGCTTCTCAGGGACCCAGACGCCATCCTCTTTACAAGGAGCTGCTGCGGGCTTTTGAGATCCATCCTGGCCTACTGCAGGCAGTACCTGTTATTGTATGCTGTCCCCAGCAATTTTATGTAACTGTGGCTATTAGATAAGTTTTTTCTCTCATAGAGAACTTTGCCTTAGGTGCTATAAAAAAGCTAAGAGAAAAAATAAAGTTGGAGCTTGCTCATTGGAGTTTTGGTCCATCCATACTATGTCTTAGTTAGGTTTTACTGCCGTGAACAGACACTGTGACCATGGCAACTCTTACGAGGACAACATTTAATTGGGACTGGCTTACAGGTTCAGAGGTTCAGTCCATTATCATCAAGGCAGGAGCATGGCATTATCCAGGCAGCAATGGTGCAGAAGGAGCTGAGAATTCATCTTCATCTGATGGCCACTAGGAGAAGACTGGCTTCCAGGGAGCTAGGATGAGGGTCTTAAAGCCCATGTCCACAATGACACACTTCCTCCAACAAGGCCACACCTCCTAATAGTGCCACTGGATGGGCCAAGCATATTCAAATTATCACATTGTATATAGTAAAAAATTGGAGCTTGCTTGTTGGGAGTTTACTCCATTCCAAATGTGTATGTAGATATAGATATAGATGATATAGATGATATAGATATATAGATATAGATATAGATATAGATGATATAGATATAGATAGATATATAGATATATATAGATATTATTGGGGCTTGCCTTCCTTTATTTACTAAGTAAGTGTGTGTGTGTGTGTGTGTGTGTGTGTGTGTGTGTGTGTGTGTGTGTGTGTGT